GTGGATAAGTGCCCGAGAAGTCGTTTGGGTTGTTGGTGGTGGACTTGGAGAGTGGATGTCGATGGCTTAGTTTTTTCTGGTTCTTGGGTGATTGCTTCCTCCTTGGTGGCTGTTGTCGTTCTTCTTCTTCTTCTTCTTCCTCTGCTCCGCTCTCTGAGTCTGATCTTGGCACTCCAAAGCGCATCTTGAGGATGTTGTTCTGTCCAGCCTTCCAGGGTGTGGTGGTTGGCACTCCCACTCCCACCCTCACTCACAACCCGATCCGCTTATACATACTTACACAGCCCACCTCGCCCGCAGTCAATTCTACCGAACAACCATCACATGTAACTTGAAGAGCTTCACAACTGCAATTCAAGCTCAAAAAATGAACTGACCTTCGCCATCTTCCTCTCCCTCCATCCGCTACACACCTCTTAAAGCCGGAGCAAGCAGGAAAAACCCGATAGATCGTCTTTTGATTAATGTTCTAACCATAGTATGAGGCCATCATGGCTTGAGAATCAGAACCCAACCCCATCTTAGTAATGAATCGAGCACAGATCATGGGAAGCTGGTGGCTGGATGGATGCCTACAATATGACATGAAGGGCGTACAGTTCCAATGAGATAGGATGCATTCATGACATGAGCAAGTAAGCTTTTCACAAGAACACAAAATCACTTGTTGCCTTGTGCCAATATGGTCGGTGTGGAAGAAGAATGGTTGATTGGAAAAGGGTATTGTTTGAAGGATTTATTTCCTGGGTGATCGTAATCATAGATCAAAGAGAGAGAGAGAAAAAAAAAAGAGAAATAGAAGCGGATGGAGGAAAAGGGAAAAGAGATCATACTGCATGCACATATTAGAAGATAAGAGCCGACAAAAAAAAAGACACAAAACGGATATCAAAGGCACCAAGAGCAAATCCGGGAGTTTTTTTTATGTTTATATTTGTTTCATAGTTAAGACCAAGAGAACGAAAGAAGAAAAGAAAATCAAGTTTTGACGAGGACATCGAAGGAATTAGTGCCGGTCATAGGAGGTTGGCCCAAGACGATAGAAGCTGACGGATTGAGGAGGTTATCGAAGTCCCCAAAGATCGTAGCATCGGTCAAAATAGTGGCCGTGGTTTCATATGAAGCTTTCAGGAATGGAGAAACGTTATTGGACAGGCCCGATCTGTTGAATGGTTTATACCTTCCTTCAGAAGTCTGTACACACACATAAAAAAAAAAGGAAACCGACGGGTCAGATTGGATGCTCTTTTCTTGTTGTTTTTCCGCAAGAGAAGACGAAGGAAAATAATAAGAAGAACGGGAAAGAACGAAAAAAAAAACTTACCATGTAGTCGGCGATAACCGTTAAATGTCGATAATCCACTGAGATACCATACACGTTAAAGACGCCAGAGATTTCTTTGATGATTGAAGATCTAGCCGCCTCGACGCCATAAGTTTTAAGCATTGCATTGATATCATTGGAATATAATTCATCCAACTCGATGATATTGTGGCCGAAGTCCCAAGCAGCGATCAAGTTGGCGCCTTCGGTCATTCCAAACCTCCTCTCCTTATTCTTATCATCCGATTGAGAAACTAAAGTCCTGGCGATCCCTTTGATTTCTTGGATCACCGCTCGTCTACAACTCTCTTCAATCAGTCCGACTAATAACAGTTTGGTTGAACTCGATGGAAACTAGATAGATAAAGAAAAAAAAATCGACCATCAGCTTTTCCCCAATCTTCCATGTATTTTTGATCTAATTTAAAGAAGAAAATTCCTTGACTGACCTGCATTGATAGCTGGCAATAACCGCCATGTCTATCAAACTCGATCGAGTTGACATAGTGGGATAACTGTTGCACTTCATCTGCAAGTTCTTCGGCGTCACTCTGAGAAATTTCGAGTTCTTCAAGACTTCGAGCATCATCCGAATCGGCCGAGCTTGATGACGAGTCATCATCACTATCTCGATCTTCACGAGTTTTACTAGCACCGGTCATCTTTCGCAGTTTTTCATCATTCATGACTTCCGATTCCGCATCTGAATCCGACTCGACGCCATCCTTATCGTAGTCAAGTTCTCCCCGTTGACGCGCCCGTTTCTCATCATAGGCATCTCCATCCTCAATATCAGCTTCATCTACTCTTCGAGCAGGGACATCCTCTTCACCATCCTCACTACCATTTGCACCGTTGCCTGGGCCTTTTCGCGACGAACTCGACTTGCCTTTCCCTATCTCAGCAAGCTGAATTTTCAGATCTGACTGCAGCGTCTTCAATTCACGCGTGATCATTCGCTCTAGCATCGGTACAAACACCTTGGCAATCGACTTGAAAACTGCGGGAACGTTGATACTGTACTCGCGACAATACTCTTCAGCCGGATAGAGTTGCAATCTGATTTCGTAAACTTTGGAGATTTGTGCATTGTTCCCATTTCGTTTCAATCGCTCTGTCACCAATACTTGATCGACCACCTGAGATAGATACAGTCGGGCTGTTTGCTTGATAAATCGTTCGAATTGCTCATCCGTCACCTCCGGTCGTATCGGAAATTTCATCGTAGGAGTCTTGATGTTCGCGGACGCTGTCATCACGATCTCACGCAAACGCGGGATACCTAAGGTGACGTTCGCGGCGCCGTGACCGGCGAAATGGAAGGTATTGAGCGTCATTTGAGTTGAAGGTTCTCCGACTCCTTGCGCGGCCAACAAGCCAACGGCTTCTCCTGGGTCGACGAGTCCCATCATGAACCGAACGTGCATCAATGAGCTGAAGATATCCATTGATACGAGGTCGTCAGATTTTCGGTACACAGGCCACGTCTTTCGGATACTTTTCTTAGATTTTAGGACTTGAAGCGGATTCAAATTTTTATAGGCTTCCACATCTACGGCAAATTTTTCCGAAATACTTCCAAAGTGTCGACTTGGACTGAAGAGAGACAGCGTGGGTGGCGGCAGTGAACGGACTCCTTTCTTTATCGCCTTGACTATTCGATCGGTGTGGTCGTTAGCAGTGGTACAATCGACTTGACCAGCGATTCGACTTGGGTTGAAGCGTGTGATCAAAGAACTACGATTCATGAGCGAAAAGTCGAATTGATTGAGATGCTTCTGTTTTGTCACATCAAGTGAATCATCTCCATAATGGAACTGAAGTATCGATGAATCGCTGTTCCGGACGGTATGGTCGTAATGAACTCGCACTCCTTCAAGATGCTTGATTAGACAACGTTGTAAATATCCTGATCGACTCGTTTTGACAGCCGTGTCGATCAAACCCTCTCGTCCAGCCATGCAATGAAAGTAATACTCTTGCGGACGAATACCAGTCAAGAAACGTTGGGCGACAAATCCACCCGCCCGTGGTGCAGTTTCAAACGCGCGAAAGGATGGAAGTGTCTTCCCACTAACCATGACGGGTACCCGACGTCCTTCCAGGGCTTGTTGACCGAGTAGACAAGAGATTTGAGATGCATTGACTGGAGTGCCCTTTGCACCGGATGAAGTCATCATTTGCATATTATTCCATGGGAATGGTTTTGCTAGACCAGAAGGAAGGCATTGATTATTGATGGCTGTTTGTAGCGAGGAGTTCTCTCCGCTGTAGGCGTTATCAAGTGCTGCCATTTTCATATCATCTCTCAAGACCTCTTGAAGACGGTTTTCCAAATCAATCATACCGTGAGGAGTTTTCGCTTCCTTTTCTGAGAGCCCGATGGTCGACAAAGTAGCCCGGATACCCCGCTGAGAAGTTTCGGAAATGAGCTTCGAACGCATCTCATCCCCCCGTTTTGTGAGCTGTAGATCATCCATTCTGCAAGTGAATGCGCGATGTTGGAGAAATTTGGTGAATAATCGACTGAGGATGCCCAACAGTTTTCCAGCGATATCCGCACCGTACAAGTCATAAACGGAATGTACCAGACCGTATGGGGAAGCACCGATCTGTGATTTATCAATCACTCCTTGGATCAAGTCGCCATCCATAAAGGTCACATGCTCTTCTCCTGTATGTTGAGTCCCCCACGATTTTCCTCGGACCTTTGAGGATGAGAATAAGTTAAGTCCAGATGCATTAAGTGGGGTGATATTCTTCATGATAGTTGAGATCAGCTGTTTACCGGTCCACATAGGTACCGGTTTCCAGATCGTTGGGGGCACGGTGACGACCCTACCTTGACCAGAGTAGTTTCCTTCTGGTCTCAGAGCTCCATAGATGATTTGATAATAGTCATCTCGAGTGAAAAACGTGTCTTTATTCGTCATCCAAACTCCAGATACCACATGATCTTGAATCAAGCCACGGAGAGGATTCCCCGAGGTTGGTACTAAGTATTGATTGTCGTTGTTTGCGATCATTCGTGCCTCGCTTTGGGCAACCAAGCTTTGTGGGAAATGCATATTCATCTCTACCGGTAAGGATGGATAAGAAGGAAGAGAAAACAAAAAAGAAAACGTGAGTAACGTGTGCTAACAGATTGACTAGGGCAGTATCCTTTGAGCTCTCATAAACAGACCATCTCCATCAAAATCAGCGTTGTAAGAATTGCAGTTTGCGTAATGCATCCGAATCGTCTTTTCGCCTTTCAAAATCCTGGCTCGGTGACACATCATACTAGGTTTGTGAAGTGTTGGCTGTCGATTTAAGATAAGAATATCGCCGTCGTCCAAGTGGCGATGGACGCGCTTACTACGCATTCGTGTCCGGGTTGATGGTAGCCCTATATCAGGCCTTGCCATACTATTCGCATTCTCGGCGTCACCATTTGAGTGTAGCAAAGTGTTGGCTAACGCTCGTCGGCCTTCCTCGTCCATTTTGTCTAGAGAAATCATCGTCCCATCTTCATCTTGAATATAAACCGCCCCGGGATGCTTATTCGGACCATTGCAAACTAACCGGTGCATCTGCTCATAGTTGTGTGCGGTGACAAACTCGGGAAACGTCAGTTTCTTAGCAAAGACCGGTGGTACTCCGATCTCATTGGTTTCGATGTTGATGTCGGGTGAGATGACTGATCTCGCGGCGTAGTTCACTCGTTTACCCTGTGCAACCAAAACAACAGATGATGAGTATTCTGAGCTTTGAGCAGGCGAGATTAGACAAAAAAATCAGCAAACAGTGACAAACCATCATGTTCATACGAAACAGTCCGTCCTTTTTTTCAAGCAGCTGTTTGATACCTTGGGGTGGTAGTTTACCTGGGCCCATGTTCGTTGGGTTCTTGGTACTATCCATCAAACTGTTGACCGCGACTTGCATACCAACACAGGCTTCTAAAACTTGTCGATACAATTTGGCCCGAGTGGTTTGGAGGGCTTCAACTTCAGAGGAATCCAAATCTTTTTCTACCTTGATCCTCTTGCTTGTAGTCGCGAGATCGCTATTGAGATCGCGGAGCTTGATGGTTTGGGTGAGAATTTGGGTCAATAGTTGGTTTTGAGGTGATTCAAGTGTCATACCACCCATGATAGCAGCCGGACGGAACCTTGAAGGCGGCACAGGCACGACTTCAAGAAAAAACATGTCGGCCGAAGCCGGCGCTTGTTCACGATGCGATTGTAATGCCGGAAAACGTGAGCCGTACAACAATCCGCAAATTTCTGGTTCATTAATGAAAAGCTGATTCAGATGGGCCCGAGCCTCTTGAGCGAGCATCATTCGTTCGGTCTGCTTGGATGGCTTGGCGCCTTTTCCTTGCTCCTGGCCATCGTTGTTGTTATCATCATCGTCGTCGTCGTCGTCGTCGTTCGAGCTTTCAGCACTTTCAGTTTCTGCGCGGCTGCTTGCAGCTTTTTTATGTTGAACAACTTCATCCACATCGCTATCAGAAGCCGCGTCACCTAAGTTTGATCTTGCAGCTTGGGTGCTTTGGGCCCAGGCCGAAGCACCGTCGTCACTATTAACATCGCTAAAGTATCTGCCGTTTTCGGACGAAGGGTCTGTGCGCTGTCGTTTGTTTGTGGCTGATGGTTGGATGGAAGATGAGCGCCGACTAAGGGTTGATCCAGCGGAGAATTTGAGCACGTTTGGCCTAACTTTGCCCGTCAATTTGTGATACTGTTCTTGTTTAGGCACGAGAGAGTATTCCATAATTTTCGTATGACCGTCTTTCCTCATTCGCGACGAGTGGGCTCCACATCTTTCGCACTTCTTCTTGGGTAATAATTTGAACAGTTCCGAAATCACCTGTCGCCTTCGATCGAAGCACATTCCAATCTTATAATCTTCCCCGGAGCATCTGGCCTTGATAGAACTCTTCTTCCGATCTAAACATTCGGCCACAAATTTTGAGATTGAGGTTTTGTAAAAGTTGAGATCGAATTCGGCTTGGTCTGCTTCTGGGTCTTCATTTTCCTGATCGGCGCCTTCCTCTGCGGCCCTTTTCCCAGGGGTAATGGGTTGTGAGGTTGGAAAATCGTCTATTGCATCCGATTCGATTGGCAGGCCATGCTCTAGAAGTTTGAGTTTTGCAGTATATCGGAGAATCTAAATATAAAATTTTTTAAAAAAGGGGTTGGGAAGGATTGATTGATTAGTGCAAGCTGATTGAAATGGGGCAGTCGAAGAGAGCTCACGAGCCATTGAGTTATGATGAACTTACCACCAACTGAGAACACAGGAAATGATGGCAATAGAAGCAAGTTGACCTCAAGAGCTGATAGGCATGTGTCATGAAGAGTGGATGAAAGACGGGCACGTTGAGTTCGATGTGACCGAAATGACCGGGACATTGAGTGTTGAGTTGATGGCAGGTCCAGCAGATATCTTGCCAATCGAGGGGCCCAAGCCTAGGGTCGTAGAGGCCTGCAGTTGAGGGCACATTGTTGTTATCGAGTAGGGATGGATTGGTGATTTGAAGGACTGAGATTGATCGGACGTCTGATGATAAGAGCGGTGAGAATGAGACTGAGGTGATGTTGGTGAGGAGAGGATGGGCTGGATCCATAGCTTGGCCTGGGAGTTGATTGTTGGTGATTGATGAGCTGTTGCTTGGCGGAAAGTAGATTGCTGGGTGAGGAGTGCTTGTGGTTGAAGGCCGAGTGGATTTTGAATAAATCACGGCTGTTGGTCCTTGGAGCGGAAGAGCCGTATTGCATATTCATTCTCAGGCCATCGACCAACAAAAAGCCATTCCCTCCAAAACACAAGCCAAAACCATTGACTATATTTCACTCGAGCTTCCCTCTCTGACGCTGCTTGGTATAATTCTAAATTTGATGGGATCTTTATCACTCGCTCAAAGCTCTGCCCATGAGGGAAGGTGTCACTATCCAAGTCTCTTGCGGCCAATATGGGGACCAGTGTTTTGCTGGAGCAAATTACACAGTAAAAAAACATTGGATGAACCTCCAGCACAGTGAGACGCTTTTCATTGTTATTTCTTTCAATCAGAACTTACTTTTCTGGGCAACTATCTTGATCACACAGAATTTTTGCCTGCATCTTGTCAATATTGCAATGTTTCTCTGTTGAAATTAACACCAAAGAAGGGGGTGTTTTTCAAGAAGAGGCAGCATACCTGAGGGACTTCGTTCTGGACCGTTTCAAATGTTCCAAAAGAAGGGGAAGAACAGAATATTTTTGAATTCTCAAACTCAGCTAAGGTAAATAGACTGAATGCAGCAGTAAGAGTTATTGTTTGAATATAAATAGAATAAAATGGAAAACCCTAGGTGAAATGCTTAACACCAAATTGAATCAATCAAACTCAAGAAGATAAGAAGCTGAAAATAATAGAAGCTTAGACCCCTAAAATCTGGGAGTATGACTCTATATATCACTAGCAGATCAAGAGATGTGGGGCACATTGAATCACTGCAGAGATGTCAAGACTATAGCAAGGTTTTTAATTAGGGGGGGTTCACAACAGAAATTTATTAAGTTTTTATAGCCAATTTTAAGGTCCTTATCAACAAGATTTTAGCATTTTGATGAAATGAACTGATTTTTGGGTTCCTGAACAATCATTTCATTTTTCAAAAATTTGTCAATAAACACCATCAAATGAGCTTTAAATATTTTTTAAATTCCTATTGTGAACCCCCCTTGATAATGTTTAAATAAAATGATGCACATGATTGTACTGTGTTTTGATTGTTTCTGTGTGGTAAATTTTCCTGTGGTCTGGTGCTGAAATCCTTGCAGTCTTCAAACCCTGATCTGGTCTTTATCAACATTCATTTGCTCCAGTAATCTTTTAAAGCATTTCTTGTTATTCATTTTGATATTCAATTTTTCTCTGACCACAGATTGAACTTATTGTATGTAGTCTATTTAATATTTGGGCTCTACTATAAATAAAAATTGTTGTTTCTCTCAATTTTAATCCCAGTTCCACTTTTAAGCTCTCAAAAAAGGGTGTGCTATGACAAGACTTTTCAAAACAAAATCTCTCTCTTTCCTGTCCCTAACTCTAGGATTTATTCAAAAATACTAAGCTGTGCCTAAGGCAACAATGGGCCACTGCGCTTTTGGCCCAAAAAGGGTGAATGCAGCATGGGCACTTCTTTTGGGCAGGAATTGTGTAGTGTTAGTGCACTGTTAGTGGTTTTTTACTATGCTATGCTGAGCTATGATCCACTAACAGCTGCTACAGGGCCAAAAAAAAAACACAAACCAGTGTGTCAGTGTAGTGTAGCCCGCCCTGTTTTGTGGCCTATGCACATATTGTTTGTGCAGATGTGGCCAAATTCTGCTACTCTATGCTAAAGTTTAGTGGAATTGTGATACATTACAATACCACACTAACACTACAGTTAGTAAAACTGGCCTACCCTCGCCTGAGTAAATTAGGATAATTTCACTTTGCCCTCCAATCCCTCCCTAAATTGTGCGCTAGCATCTGAGGTTTTTTGCTCATGTGCTCCATTTTTCCCTATCAATTCTTGCTTGTTGTGGATCATATATTCTATCTTATCAGAAAACCAAGAAAAAAGAAGATTGCTTGCACAGTATGTGTGGCAACAAAAGCATATATGGGCCAACACAGTTCTCTATGCCTGATCACAGTTCCCCCACTGTATTCAATTTCAACCTGTAATTAAAATTCATTGGAATTGTGAGACTGCAGGATTCTGGAATTGCAGAGGAAAAATTGAAACTTCACGTTACAAAAAAGGACATGGCATTGGTGAATTTTCCAAGTCTGGCTGGTTGGGGGAGACAGAAAAAAATCAATGGTCATTTCTGTCAGGAACAAATTTTGATATGTGTTTGAGGAAAATCACAGCAAAGTTTAAAAAATTTCCCTTACTGTTTTCTTAATTCTCTCAGGAAAGTATTGTCACATTGCACATAAGTCCCTCCTTCAGAGGGTTCCTGTTTTTTTTAGAGCAGGTTCTCAATATTGTGATTCTTCTGTGATGCTGGTGATTTGTCTGCCTTGTGGATCAGGATTAAATTACCATACCTTCAATCCTGCATCCTGTCAGCCTTTATGCTACTAATCTGTAAGGATTGTGCTCTGAGTGTTAAAAAGAAGAGTAATGAAGAAGATTTATTTGTGGTTAAATCGCTCAACCTGTAAAAGAAACAGGTAGGAGTCAGTAAGGAATGGTACTTCTACTGCAGACTCATCCAATTATTCAATTGGGCATCCGGATCAATCCTCCTGCATGGATTAATAGGCTTCCAAGGTGAGGACTTCTTTAACTCACTTGGGATAAGTCTTTTAACAAAAATTCAGATTAATAAGTGTATCAAAACTTAAGGACCAGAATTTTTTAACCTGGGGGATAATTCTTTATGCAATAGAGATAAGTAGAAATGCCTTGAATTTGAGAAAAGTAAATTTATTTAGGTCTAAGGTAGCTGGATTTTAGAGTTATTGGTGGTCTAAGTTGCTAATAATCCCAGTACAAGTGTTGGTTGGATGCTACTAGAATTTCCGGGGGGGGGGGGGGGGAAAGTAGGAATCAGGGCTCCTTAAATATTCTACAGGGGGCTCAGGGGAAGAGGAGAGGCCCTCAGGGCACTAGGGAGCTTCTTAGCAGCTCTACAGCTTCTTGTAAACATGGGAACTGTAGCTGTGCAGTGATATGCATTGATGGAAGGTCCTAGGACATGATATCATACATGCATAATTGAATTTATGGCCCATTTCTTACGTAATTGAAAGAGCTGCAGTTACTGTGCAGGGGCTGTGCAATTGTATGGTTAGTTGCATACGTGTAACTCTGCTTATGCAAGCTTGTGATCATGAGAAATGCATGTGCTGAATGCATAATTCAGTCTTGCATGTGGAATTTGGGCTCCTTTCCCGTGTAGGCTACTTTGAATTGTGCAAGCTTTGAAATAGAGCACAAGAGGGTCCTGATGACACCATCCAAGAGGTTTAGGATGCAATCTGATGCCATGATGATGTGATCAAGGATGGGTAAGCTTCAGATAATTTTATATAGCTTATTCCTCATCCATCTCACGCTTCTACTAGCTGATTCTTATACATATGTAATTAGTTTATGGCTTATAAAGTATGTACATAATGTATGAGAATAAACATTATTTTAATAACTTATTCTAATGATGTTTCTGTGAAATCCTAGTGATATTATATGTAAAATACTCAAGGGGATTTCACAGTTAACTATTGAATTATTAAATATAATTTATGAATTAAGATTAAATGTAAGGGCCTTAATAAAAAAACACGGTTTTTCCGCGTTTTGACGCGGTTTTGATGCGCCGCAGCACACGCGGTTTCCGCTTTTAGACGCGGTTTTTTAATTAATTTTTTACGGCTTATTTTTCGAGTTTTTTCAAAATTTTAAAATTTATTCCTACACTATGAAAGGTGTAGAATTTAATGGTAAAGTCCATTTTCCATAAAAATGAATTTTGATTATTAATTTTTTTTTCCACTTATTTTTCAATTAATTGTTTGCATGCATGTATGTACCTTATTTTTTATGCTTTTGTGAAATTTTAAAATTATTTCCTAGGTTTCAATGTGTGTAGAATTTAATGGTGCAACTGAATTTTTTTAAAACTCAACGGTTCATTTTTAATACTGAAATTAGACCCATTTTTTCACTTAATTTTTTACAGCTTAATTCTCATCATTTTTTGACATTTTAAATTTATTTCCCACACTTTAAGACATGTAGAAAATGATGGTAACAACCATTCTTCCCCAAAATGAAAAATATACCTTGAATGCCGCATTTGACACGTTTTTTTTTAATTAATTCATCACTTTTTCACTTAATTGTTTGCATACATGTGTGTACCTTATTTTCTATGCTTTTTTGAAATTTTAAAGTTGTTTCCTACATTTAAAAGTGTGTAAAATTTAATGGTAACATTCAATTCCCATAAAACTCAACGGTTCATTCTGGATACTGTAATTAGTCATATTTTTCAATTGACTTTGAAGAGCTTAATTTTCATTATTTTTTGACATTTTAAATTTGTTTCCCACACTTTAATACATGATAAAAATGATGGTAACAACCATTTTACATAAAAATCAGCGCTTGTTACTGAATACTGCAGTGGACAGGCTTTTTTTAATGTTTTTTTGATTGATTTTTACCGGCCTGATTTTAAGCATTTTTTTTTTTTTTTAAATTTATTTCCTACATTTACAAATGTTTAGAATTGAATGGTAAAGTCCAATTTCACTCAAAATACAAGCTTCAATCTTAATAGATGAGTGTACCCTGTTTCTTGCATAATTTGTACCATATACAAATTTTATTTGAATGCAAAATGGATACAGCCATCAATTCTGAAACCTTTAAAAGTGTAGGAAATGAGCTTGAAATTCCAAAAAATAAGGATAATTGAGTGTGTAAGAATTAATTCAGGAAACACGTCAAAGGCATTATTCAAGATATAGTTTTCATTTTGATGAAAATTCATTGTTGCCATAATTTTATACATGTTTGAAAGTGTAGGAAACAAATTTAAAATGTCAAAAAATAATGAAAATTAAGCTCTTAAAAATCAATTGAAAAATATGACTAATTACAGTATCCAGAATGAACCGTTGAGTTTTATGGGAATTAAATGTTACCATTAAATTTGACACACTTTTAAATGTAGGAAACAACTTTAAAATTTCAAAAAAGCATAGAAAATAAGGTACACACATGTATGCAAACAATTAAGTGAAAAAGTGATGAATTAATTAAAAAAAACGTGTCAAATGCGGCATTCAAGGTATAGTTTTCATTTTGGGGAAAAATGGTTGTTACCATCATTTTCTAAATGTCTTAAAGTGTGGGAAATAAATTTAAAATGTCAAAAAATGATGAGAATTAAGCTGTAAAAAATTAAGTGAAAAAATGGGTCTAATTTCAGTATTAAAAATGAACCGTTGAGTTTTAAAAAAATTGGATTGCACCATTAAATTCTACACACATTGAAACCTAGGAAATAATTTTAAAATTTCACAAAAGCATAAAAAATAAGGTACATACATGTATGCAAACAATTAATTG